AGGCATCCTAGCCCTGACCCTTATCATTTCATTTAGGGCCTCCGAAGAGATTTTTCTATTACCAATCCTGTTTTATTAAAATTATCCTTCTTGTGCCTCTGGAATACTTGAACATTTGAACCCAGCCGTATCATTTCCAAGTTTAAAACTCTTCCGAAACTGTTCAGTGTTTTCAAAACAAAGATCAAGTACCTTCCTCAGGCCACAAAGGCCCTCCATGACTACCTAGTTCTTTGCTCCTGCTCTCACTGAATGAGCATGCTCCTACTGTTTATACTGTTCTCTCTTGCTAGAATACCTGGTGTGGTAGGGCACGCCTGTAATCCTAGCATTCTTGAGATGGAAGAAGGATCAGAAGCTGAAGTCATCTTTGACTGCTTATCAACTTCAAGGCTAGACTGGAAGAGGAGAGGAAGGCAAAGTGGGAAGAGGAGGGAAGTGGGGGAGGGGGAGATATCTTCCTCATCAAACTGTTAAGCCCTGAGGACAGGGGTCAGCTTTCACACATCTTTGTAACCTAGGAACCTAATTCAATAGTGCACTGCTTACTAAACTGGAATGAATTAAAAGTCACAAAGCATTCCAAGATAATTGAAAAGTCACTTCAACCACTAGGGGATGTAGCTCATTGGTAGAGCATGCTTGACAAGTATGCATGAGGTTCTGAGTTCAATCCCCGGTATGTTGGGAAGGAAAGAAAAGTCCCTTCAGTATAAGGTAGAAAGATGCCCATGTCTTTTCCATCAGAGAGGGCTCCAGCTAGACAGTGGTATGTATGTAACACCCAGGTTTCTAGTAACACTGCTCCCCTTGGTATTGAGAGTTCCAAATTTATAATTCTAATTCTTTCAGCAAGCCCTCAGAATCTTAACTATGTTAGCATTTGACCCATATACATATCTAAGATAAACAACTGTTCTGAAGGGTTGAAGTAATCTATTGATGGCTAGAGATGCTGACAGGGTGAGCTGTAAAGAGGCCTGCACATTTTTTTTCAAGTAAACTTGTTGGCACAGCTGCTAAGGTTTAATATGAGGAATGGCATAAGCTGTTGCATAGCACAGAAGGCAAAAGGATAAAAACCTGATTTTCTTGTCCGGCTGATATGGGTGCTTAAGTTGACCAAAATACATTTTACTTAAAATGTACCTACAAAAACTATTATTCTGTTAAATGTTCCAGTTCTTCACTATTCTAATGTACTGCCTTCCTTTGTTGGCCATCTCAAATGCTGAAGATGCTGAGGGCCTTCAAATGTACACCTAGAATCCAAAATCAAAAAAGACTAGAAAAGATCCTGGTGTGGTATGGTATGGTGGCTCATGCCTATAATCCTAGCACTTGGGAGGTTGAGGCAGGAGAATCACAAGTTTGAGGACAGTGTAACTTCATAGTGAGTTCCAGGCCAGCCTTTAAAGCAGGGAGACCCTGTCTTTAAAACCAACAAAAAAGAAAGAGAAAAGAAAAGGAGACCCTATGAGAGCTAGGTAATCCTTATTCCTTGAGAGGCTGAGACAGGAGTAGATCATGTGAGTTCAGGAGTTCAAGTCCAGCCTTGACAAGAGTGAGACACTATCTAAAAAAAAATATCCTACAAAACCCTATGTTTAGATAGAAACAGCTAAACATTAGAGGATATAAGTTGTCCTGGGAATTTCTTATTCCACATAGTAATTACTTGTGGCTGTGTCTGCATAATTCACTTCATTTAATATGAAAATTGATGTTAGAAATCAATATAATTTTCAGGGTTTTTTTGTTGTTTTGTTTTTTTGTTTTTGTTTTTGTCTTTTTGAGACAGGTTCTCCCTATAGCCCCTGGTGGCCTGGAATGCACTATGTAGATCAGCCTGGCCCTGATCTTACAGAGATCCACCTTACAGAGATTTCCCTCCCAAGTGCTGGGATTGAAGGTATGTCCCACCACATTCAGGTAATTTTCAGTTTTATTCCATTTTGATTCCAATAATGTATTAACACGTGCCAAACTGCTAAGAGCTAGAAGTAGACAAAGAAAGGGTCACAGTGTTGATAGGGAAAACAAATGCAATGCTTAAACAACTTGGGACCCTGAAATTGATGTAAACTATCACAAAATTATCTTGGTACTCCATGAAAGGTTAGGTGGAATTTCCAATGCTTTTATCAAAGGTATTAGTCAAATTCATCAGTCCAGCCCAGACTAGCCTTGACTAAAATAGTCCAAGGCCTCCTTGACCATCTTTTATCCTTTAGTAAAAAATCCTCCTGGCCATAGCAACACAGGCCTCCAATCCCAGTTCTTGAAGATGCTGAGGCAGGAAGATGAGGCCAGGTGAAGAAATAAATAAATGAATAATAAATAAATAAGTAAATAAAATTAATGTATAATAAAACACTAAACGTAAAAATTGTCAACTAGCATTTGAAAAGTATTATCATGCACAAAGCTTCTATACATCAAATCTGGCTTTACACTCTCAACAAATGTTATTACTCTTATCAGAAAAAAAAAATTTAACACATAAGGAAACAGACAAAATGATTAGGTGACTTGGGCAAGTTTACACATCACAAAGTTGCCCAAGGCAGACTTCATTCTCAAGTCTCCAAGCATTGTATGTGGTATCCTTTCTGACATTTCACTGCTTTCTGTAAATCAGAGGGACTCCTACATCTTCTATTTTTTACTTCAGATTTTTAAAAAATTACCGATTTATTTTCTTAATGATATTAAGCCCAAATTAAATTAGTGTATATTCCTGGAGTGGACACTACGACATTAGGTGGGGCCACTATTACAACTGCTCACAGAATGTATATGCCAACTTCAGCTTAACATTTTTCCTAAATACACAGAACAACACTTTTGGTTAAGCATAATTCAATCTGTGAATTTTTCAAGGAGAACAAACACTACAACTACTAGAATTATTTTTCTTACAAATAGACCTACTACAGAGATTATAACTGAGAAAAACATAACATACTTTTTTTTTTCTTTTGTCTTTTTGAGACAGGGTCTCCCTGTAGCCCCAGCTGGCCTAGATTCGTACGTAAACCAGGCTGGCCTTGAACGCACAGAGATCTCCCTGCCTCTGACTCCCAAGTGCTGGGACTACAGGCGTGTGCCACCACACCCGGTATAAAATACTTTTAAATGGCACTCTGGAGGAAATTCTATTCTCTACATTTAAAAAAAGGCTATACGTCTACACTCATTTCACACTCAAGTACTTCTTTCTTTTCTTTCCTACGCACTAATCCCCCCCTATTTGCTGTAACAATGAATTAACAACAGGTGGTTATTGAAATTGCTCATTTATAGCTTTTCCAAAGCCAATTGTAATTAAATTGTCAGTATTTTATTTTATATATTGGTTTATCTGATTTAATGCAGTGCGTTAAACACTGATTTATTTTAGTACAGATTTACCCCAAGCAGGAGAGAACCAACTCCTAAAAGCTGAACTCCTGATTTCTACACTCAAATACATGTACACCTGCTTACATATTCACACACACATTAAAAACCCAATAGAATCATGATATAGCCAAATCATTTAGTAAAAATAAAGATTCACACATGAAAGAGCAACAAAATTCAAATGAATTGCAAAATTTATTGGATTAAGAAATTGAATTTTTATCTTTTCTCTTTAAAAATTTTTTTTTTATTATTTTCATTTTTTTTTTTTTTATGTATGAATGTATTGGCTGAACGTATGTGAGTACAACCGTGTAGTGCAATGCTGCGGAGGTCAGAAGAGGGTGTCAGATTCCCCAGGAACTGGAGTTAAGGGCAGTTCATAGCCACCATGTGGGTGCTGGGAATTGAACCTGGGTCCTCTGCAAGAGCAGTCAGTGCTCTTAATCGCTGAGCCATCTCTCCAGCCCCTATCTTTTCTCGTTTAAAAATATAAAATGGAAACAGTATATTTTAAAATGAAATGGAGATCTTTTTTAAAGGTTAAAAACTTATTCAATTTTATGTCTTACAGGGTTTATACTGAGTTCAATATTGTATAATTGTATGAATTCAACTGTTATCCTAAAAATTTTATAGCCACTTTTGAAAGAGATGTATCTTTGCTCTGGAAATTGTTCTTTAAAAAAATATAAAATGATAGATGTCACAGCCATCGCAGCTGCATCTCCAGCTAGAAGATGAACTTGGCAATGTATAACGGTCTCCCACAGTGTATGGTTTTGAGGCTATGAAGGGGTTATGGAGAGCAGCTGAGGCTTGGGACTATGTGAGGCCAGGAGAGGCTGAAGGTGCAGTCTCGGTTGTAGTGGAAACCCCAGGTTGAAGGGAACATGGAAAGAATCAGTGGTTTAGGCACCACACGAGGCCAGGAGAGGTCACTGGTGAGGGTGCAGCCTTGGCCCCTTCTAGACCACAGCTTCTGTGTGTTGACACTGAGGAAGTACTTCCCAAGAGATTTTACTTCAGTGATGCTGGTCTCTTATTAATCACAGCTAATTTTTCAGTCCCAGCTAACCAGCACATAAATTCATGTTAAAATTTACTATAAAACGATTAAAGCTTTTATACAACAAAACCACCACTGCCAATTTTTTTAAAGCAATATATATTTAACAGATATATGATTAGTGTCAGAAATATACAAACAACTCCTATGCATAATTAAGGGAAACAGAGTTAAAGCATACTGAGTAGGGGTTAAAAGAGAACATGAATAGGCAAAAATTCAGTTATCAGGAAAGGGCCAATTAAAACAGCAATAAGCCTGGTTCCCAACTATTCAGAAAGCTGAGGAAGCAGAACTGCTTGAGCTCAGAAATTCAATGCCTAGCCTAAACAAAACAGTGAGGACCTACTTATTAAATAAGTAACTTAAAAAAAAATCATTTCTCACCAATTAGATTGGCAGAAAATCTCAGAAAGAAGCTTTGGAAAGGACACAAGGAAATGAAAATTTCCATGAGCTGCTGGAGAGAATGTAAATTGGCATCACATCTGGAGGGCAATTTGAACATTATGATAAGGATACTTACTACAAATGTCATATAATTTATCAATCCCAGTGTTCAGCATTTATGCATGAGCCTTAGAAAAATGGCTCCTCTTCTCTAGAGATCTGTACAATGATGTTCACTGTAGCACTGCAGAAACAGAAATGAAAACAAACCCTAAACATATATGAATCACAACTGGGTAAGTAAATTGTTTCACATTTATATACTGAAACATTACATAGCATCTAAAATTAAACAAACAAACAAAAAAAAACCCAGTAGCTCCTCAATAGCAACAGAGATAAACTCTGGAAATACTGCTGAGTGAAAAAAAATAAGCAAGTTATAAAAAAATTATAGTAAGGCATCATCTATGCAAAACTTACTGAAAACACAATATCCTAAGGAAAACATCTACACCAAGGAAACACAGATTTATGTAATGCATTTTTTCATTGGGAAAATAATACAAAAAACAAATTAATGTTAACACTGTTAATTCCAAATGGTAGGATATTTATTATGTTACTGGTATTTTTTAGTTTTGTTTGGAATATTTATTTATGTAATCATTTATAATACAGGGTCTTGGTTCAAACTCAGATCCTCTTGCCTCAGGTTCTTGAGTGCTGAGATGAATAACCATGCCTAGTACTTCATATTTTCAATAATGCAAAATTTGATCTTACTTCTCTATATGCCATATTCACATAAAACATGTGGGTAAGGAAAATAATAAAAAATAAAGCCAGCAGTAAGACAGATTCATATTACCTGTCACAAATTGTGTATCTATGCTAGAGCTGGTAGATATATCTTTTCAGAAAGGCAAAGTGAACATAGATTTAGCAATTTTTGCTTTAATTTTTAATTTTTCCATTCACGGGCTGGAGAGATTGCTCAGCAGTTAAGAACACTGGTTGTTCTTGCAAGAAGACCCAGGTTCAAATCCCAGCACCCACATGGCAGCTAACAACTATAACTCCAGTTCCAGGGGATCCCACAGCCTCTTCTGTCCTCTAAGGGCATTGCATGACACGGGTGTACTTACCTACATGCAGGCAATACACTCATACACATAAAATAAAAAATAATAAATATAAAATATTTTTTAAAATTCCATTCATTAATGTATGCCAGAAATAGGAACTTTAGACATTCAAGGGCTCTGAAACAGATTTGGAAATCCCAAAGACAAAAAGTTTAAGTAAGTGCAAGCATGTCGTGCAATGCCCAAGGAGGGCAGAAGAGGGTGTTGGGGTCCCCAGAACTGGAGTTAGGGATGGTTGTTAGCCACCATGTAGGTGCTGGGAACCAAACCTGGGTCCTCTGCAAGAGCAGCCAGTGCTTTTAATCGCTGAGTCATCTCTCCAGCCCCTTATTTGGTCTTTTTGAGACAGGGTCTCCCTGTAGCCCCAGCAATCCTGGAACTTACCATGTAGACCAGGCTGGCCTTGATCTCATAGAGATCTACCTGTCTCTGCCTCCCATGTGCTGAGATTAAAGGTTTGTGCCACCACGCCCAGCCAAAATTTAAAATTTCAACCCACACACATTAACTAGACAATTTCCAGCAAGTCAAAAGATGGAAAGCCAAAGAAGCATTTGGAGGCAAAAGTGTTTATGCTATTAAATACTGAAAAATTTGGAGAAACCAGATAGATTTTTTTCAAACCTCTACGGCAAGCCAGAAAAGCAGCAAAGCAATAGCAGCACAGATAGAGCAAGACAACTGGAGAATGATATTCTTACTTGAAAGAAGTTCCCCCGACAAACATTTGACTTACAGCACTCAGCTACCTGCACATGTTAACAATAGATAACAGAAGTTACCTTGAAATGCAACTGTTAGTCCTGTGTCCTGAAATGCTCCAGATAAAGTTCTACCTGGCCTCATCTCTATGCTGATTTCAAGCCTCTTTCCCAAGGAACAGTTTTAAAGAATGGCACTAACATAGATGCAAAGATTCAGTCAGTATGCTGTTTTTTTCTTTTTCATTTAATTAGTGATCTAGGTAATTTCCGACCCAGTAAACTTTATTAATAAAAATATGTATTTAGGCACAGAACTTACATCTTTCACAAAAAAATTAGTTTGAGGATCATAGACCTACCTGCAATACACAAAACTGTAAAATGTATAAAAGATAATATAGGAGAAAATCTAGTTGACGTTGGGTATGACACTGACATTTTACATACAACATTATAAGCATGAGCTATAAAGTATAAAATTGTTTAAGCTGGATTTCATTAAAATTTAAACTGTTTTGCAAAGGACAATGTTAAGAGCATGAAAGATAATCCAAACATAGCAAAAATATTTGCAGTAAAGGACTTGAGCTCCCAATGTACAAAGAATTCCTTAAATAATACGAAAATCTCAAGTAAAAAGTAGACAAAAGATCTGAATAGATACCTCACCAGAGAAGGCATACAGGTGGAAGTAGGCATAGTAAAAGAAGTCAAAATATGTAATTAGCAATCAGAAATTGAAGATCTCTAATAGAATGACTAAAATTCAAAACAACAGCAATCCTGGCAAAGGTGGGGGAAGAGGAACTCTCATTCGTTATTGGCAGGAATTAAAAAAAATACAGCCACTGTTATTTTTTTATTATTATTTATTGCATTTAAAAAAATACAGCCCCTGTGCAGCAGAGATGAGTTTCTTACAAAGCTAAACACAGGTTACTCTGTGAACCTGCAAAGATAATTATAGTAAGATATTATGCAAAACTTTTTGAAAACTATACTATACCAAAGGAAAATTCTACAATTTATATAATGCATGTTAATAATTTGCTCACAAAAATTCTTTAAGTGAATGACAGTTTTATTCATAATTGTCATATATTTCAAAAGAAATGAGCTCTTAGGGCAAGAGAGACATAGACAAATATACAAACTGGCCAATTTTATCCAGCATAAGGAAATCCCATCTACTTTCACCCTTATAAGGAAAGGCACCTGCTGGATATGGTAGGGCATGCTCTGGAGTCCTAGGCCAGCCAGGGATACCTAGGGAGACCCTGTCTCAAAAGGACAGAGCAGGATGTGCTGGGGCACACCTTTATTCTCAGTCCTTGGGAGGCAGGAGCAGGCAGATCTCCGTGAGTTCGAGGCCAGCCTGGTCTACACAGTGAATTCCAGGCCAGCTGGGTCTATAGGAAGACCCTGTCTCAATAAACAAAACAAAACAACAGGTGATTGTAACCAATGTAGTGTTTGTTTCCTTGTTGCTACTCACCACTTTTTTATAAAAATCCAGTTCTGCCATTCCCAACTCCCTATTTTACCTGATTTATAAATAACAAATAAAAGCCAGTTAAATTGTTAATCTGAAGTTGTTGAAAATTTATCATTTACACATCTGGGGGGAAGGGATAAGTCATTATATAGTTGATCCTTAAACAACACGGAGGGGGGGGGACACCAAACCCCTATGCCATATAACTTTTGCCTCTACCAAAACTTAACTAGTTAGTAACAGCCTGCTATTGATCAAAAGCTCAGCTGCATAAACAGTCAATTAACACTTATTTTGTACACGTGCATGTATTACAGAAAGTGGAAAGTAGGTAGGAAACAATAAATTTTTAAATTTAATTTTTGACAATTTCATACCTCTATACAAATGTATCGTGAACATCTTATCACCTCCCACTGCTGCAGACCCCTCCTTCCCACCTAGTCTGTCTCCTACTCTCATCTTTTAAAGTTATACATGTTTCTTTTATTACATAAAGCCAATGTTACTACTTCTAAGTACAACTGTTTTTGCATCTCTACATGGTTCAGTGTCATGCCTGTGATGTTAACACATCAAACTTGTGATGTTAAAAACAATCACTTCCAAGTGTCCTGGGTAGTCCTCTGACTGTCATCCATGGTACCCACTTCCCATTTCACAAACAAATGGTAAACTGCTCTAGGAATTTACATCTCCCAGACCCTAAAGGAAACATCCTCAACATGCTTTCACAGCTTGTTGTACCAGAGGCAGTACAGTTCCGAAGGAGACAAAATTAAAGATCCAAAAGTGTTCTGGCTTATAATTTTCTTATCTGTTTTATCATTTTCATTAACAAAGCAGACTATTATAGTTATTACAAGATATTGAACAGTCTCCTGAGGATATACCATGATTTCTAAGATGCAAGGTCACTCAAGCAGTTTTCCCAGCCCACTGGAGTCTCTCATGTAGGTTACAGGGCTTCTGCCAGCATTCCAGCAGTGTGCTTGGACTGGTACTTTGCAAGATTAGAGTGAATTTTAAGTGGACACAATTCTTAGGTGGTTTTAGGACACATTATATAGAAATTAAAGACTGTCTTAGTCTTCCTGCTGTGAGTATATATTAGTGTTATATGTTACAAAGAGAATGGTACCACATTATTTTATTTAAGTCAAGAATACAGAACTTGGGGCTAAAATTATAAACAGATTTTAACCAATTCTCTAAGCAAAAGAAACAAAATAACTGCTAAGGTTAACAGAATGTAGGCATTCTCTTCACATTGCTTTGTATTGTTTTGTGAACTATATTAGAAATCCTGAGCTGAACAAAAATCTTTACATGTCAACTCATCAAAATAGGCATTTGGCCAATAAGAATTCCCCATCAACAAAACTTTAGAGGCTATTTAGGGCAGTGTTCGTACAAGTCTACAGAGTATTTAGTTTACACTAGAAGATGACAAGATAGCTCCCCCTCAGTGAGACGCTGGCCTAATATATCTGCTTTACCTATATAGCGAGGATAGCAGTAAACATGAAAGCTTTCCGTTTGTGGCACTGGCTGATGATCTACAAATGGCTTCCTTCAAAAGCTACAATTAGGGAGTCACCTAGCTTTTCAGCAATGCAAGTCTGATTGCGGTCTTCTGGCCCACTTGCTTGATATTTATGCTTTATGTTTTGGAATTTCTTTTGATGGCATCCTTTGAGCTCGCATTGATCATTTTACTTTTCTGAGGTGCTAGTTCTGGTGCCCAATAAACCCCATCAAATCTTCTTTTCTAAACTTCTTGGTTCCAAAGCTTGCATCATACAAAGCATAACGACATCTTTTGCAGGAAGCATTCCCACAAAATGCTTGAAAGGATCAGTTATAGTAACACCAACATCTCCAACCAA